CTACAATTACATACTCGTCGGTTAAGGGTACTCCTAATCTGGCGCATTTTCAATATATCGCCAATTTGGTCGATAAACCTTCGTCTGGGACGTCCCTTCCCGACTCCGCCGTTCGCATCTACAATATAGATTTGCTTTGTCACTCTTTCGTCGTTCATTCTAACCACATGGCCAAACCACCGAAGCATTATTTTCTTAATCCTGGTCACATTATCTTGCAAACCACACTTTTCTCTTATCACACAACTTCTCACTCTGTCATTCAGATTCAGTCCTAACATACTAATTAATGACCACATATCTGCAGCATTTATTCTACTCTCGTGCTTTTTCTGCCACACCCAACTTTCACTACCATATATTAAATTAGGGATTAACACACATTATAAATTGCCATACGTGCCTTTTTGACACATTCTGACTTTCCACAATAGAGTGTAAAGCCCCATTCACTCTATTTCCTGCGTTCATTCGTCGTTCCATATCTTTTTCATATCTACAATCCCTACTAAATACACATCCCAAATACACAAACTTATCTTCTTGCTCGAACAACTCCCCTTCTATTCTTATTTCACAAATCATTAAAAAAAATTCATGATTATTATCATATCTCTCAAACTGAGAGCAAAATGTTGCAATTAACGAAGTAATGTCATCAGAACTTGTAAAAGTAGGTGTCTCCCAGGGATCAATACTAGGCCCTTTTTTCCTCTTGATCTACATTGATTTTGCCTGTACATTAACAAAAATGTCTGAGATATTTCTGTTTGCTGATGATACCTCATTGTTACTTAAAGTTAAATAAACTTTGCACTGGAACGGCTCAAATAAGTACTGGATATTGCTTCCAAATGGTTTGCAGCAAATATTTGCTTCTAAATTCAGAAAAATAATTTGCAGCTTACACAAACTCATCCCCGTATTCTGTGATTAATTTAGAAAGATGAACCGTATTTCTTGAAAATTATATTGATTCCAAGTTCCAATAGCCAGAACATATTGATAAACTAGCTTCGTAATTAAGTTCTACATCGCGTACATTACTACAAGGATTTTAATGCTGACAATTAATCTACTTTGCTTATTTCCACAGTATGGATAAGATATCCTATGGTGTAATGTATTGCGGCGATCTGCAACTGGATTGGAAACAGTATACCTTTAATTGAATCAGGCGTTACTTTGCGGAAGTCCATTATATTAAAGTTGGTAAAAAATTACTTCTCGTACATCCGCTCGATAAAATAAAATGATGTGTCTTAACTAGTTTGGAGAGAACCTCCCGCCCTCACTCAATTACGTGCACTATCACCTTCACCACTAATCCCAGCACCGCTACTCCCAACACCACTACACTAGGAAAGACACACCACTGACGACAATACGATTCGTGTTTTGCCTCTACACGAGGCATCTTCAGGTGATCTGGACTCTTCGGTGGTGTGGTGATCACTGTCTGTAACTATCCTGGCTCTCTATATCTTTCAGACCGGAACACAAAAGTGCAAACATTGCTATTTGGCGGCAGAAATAGGAGAGAGGGTGTTTTTTTTATAGGATACCCTATCATATAAAAAAAATGTCTCGTTTTCATTAAAGAGTTTATGGTTCTCTACACTGACCATACGAAACACATCAGAATTAAGCTGCTATTTTACGCTGGTTATCTGTGAGAGCGTGGTTCTTCCCCGGTCGAGCCGACCCATGATATTGCTTTACCACGCACGCAATGTCACCCTGACAAACGACCATACAGTCCAACCGATGGTAACTAGTTGCTGTAGCCCATAGACATCTACATCTATCTTCGATGACGAACCAAAATTCAGATGCGTTGTCACCCGTGAGGACCAAGTGGCTTGCTTCTTTTCCAGTAAAAAGAGTCTCCGGTTCTCTACACCTATCATACGAAACACAGCAGCATTAAGCTGCTATTTTACGCTGGTAATCTGTGAGAGCGTGGTCCTTTCCCGATCGAGCCCGGTTGTACCTACCCAGACAGACTCCTAAACAGAAATGGAGTTCTACCACCCACCACCGGGCTGAGCATTGGCTTCTTTCAGTAGGCAAGATGTAATCATTCCTAGAGTAATCTTATTGCGTGGTAGAGCTGTACTGCAGCAATACCATGGGTCGGCTTAGCCAGGGTAGGACCACGTTTTCACAGATAACCAGCGTAAAATAGCAACTTAATACTGCTGTGTTTCGTAATGTCAGTGTAGAGAACCGTAAACTCTTTAATGGAAACGATACATTCCATCTTACTGAGTGACAACGCATCTGCATTTTGATTCTTAATTGAGGATAGACGGGTCACAGCTTCCACTTACCATCAGGTGGACTGTGCTCTTTTATCACCATTTTTCTATAAAAAAATCGCCTTACTTGTCAGCCGATTGAGTACTAGAATTATCGATATTCTGACTTTGCTTTAATTAGTGCAGGTAACGATCGTCTGGCACATCCAAAATGGATAGTTACCCATCAGAGGCTATGAGTTGTTTTGGCATTTCACGTAGATGCTTCTTACGACGCCATCACTTGAATAATTATTTAATAAAATATTAAAATTGGCAATCTAATATAGGCATATTATAGTTAATTAAATAATTAAAAAAGCGACCAAGTGCGAGTCGGACTCGCCCAGGAAGGATTCCGTAGCAGCAAGTAACATAATATAAAAGTTCTTGTAGTTCGTTGTAACTTTGATCGATGTTTTAATAATAGTGTATTTTATTTTATGTTTATATTTGAATTGATTGATTGAAAGGTAAATTGCGATTTACGACTTCTTACGTATTAAAAAAAAACTACTTACTAGATCTCGTTGAAACCAATTTTCGGTGGACGTTTACATGGTAATGTACATCATATATTTTTTTAGTTTTATCATTCTCTTATTTTAGAAGTTACAGGGGAGAGGACACACATTTTACCATTTTGAAAAAATCTCTCGCGCAAACTATTCAAATTAGAAAAAAATTATATAAGAAACCTCAATATCATTTTTGAAGACCTATCCATAAATACCCCACACGTATGGTTTGATCAAAAAAATTTTTCGAGTTTCAGTTCTAAGTATGGGGAACCCCCAAAATTTATTGTTATTTTTTTCTATTTTTGTGTGAATATCTTAATGCGGTTCACACAATACATCTACATACCAAGTTTCAACAGCATAGTTCTTATAGTTTTGGAAAAAACCATAAGGGTTCCGTTTTTTGCCATTTGGCTACGGAACCCTAAAAGTATACAAATATTAGAAATACAATATGAAACTAAAGACTACAAGAAACTAAAAAGGAAAAAATATTTTTCTTTTATTTTAAGATCTTCTAAAGTCGGGGCCTTAGCTTTTGGATACAATATATGTTACTAATTTTGACTCTTTTAAGTGGTCAAAGCAAAAAGCTAAGTAACGACTAGAAACGCGTTTAAATAATTACATTAAAAAAGCCATCCCCTATCTTTCCACTTATAGGAATGGATTTTTTTTCAAATTTAAATTGAATGGTTTTTTAAGTATAGTTCTATATTTATAAAAAAAAAAGACTATAAAGTCTATTCACAATTGGCAAAGATATTTGCGTAACATACGTACAAAAAACATACAGTTTAATTAAAAACCTTCTTCAAGATGTACCATGTTATACTGTCCATGTAAAAGTAACGCTAAATATTTGTAATTGTTTTTAGTAAGCAATATGTCAACTAAAATAGATGTGTTTTTTGTTTGGACTCCCTTATAAGCTAATGTATTGTTTAAGTGTTCACTATATGAATGTTAAATAAATGTGCGTTCAAAAGAAACTCCATTATTTTTATTGTCTTTATTTGTAACATTACCTTTGCAAATACACGTAGATACACAAGTAACCTAAAATACATTTGACGGGTGAACCAAACGACTAAATAATAATTTCAATGGAAAATGTATGTAAGTTATCACAATAATAAATGTTGATCACAACACATAGGTAAATAATACATAAAACATTAATTCAAGGCTTTTCTTGCCTCAAGCGAGATATATACAATGCTAGCATATGGCTCCTGCTTCATCTGTCTGCGTTTCCTCTGCTCATATTTTATACAAGAGATCAGTAATAATACATTTTATATGTAGGTACGCTAAACACATAGTCCAAGGACGGACCTCTGGATTGGAAGAAATGATTCTCGTAACTATAAACACGCCCTCTGTACCTGCATCAACAATGGGTTCACATTACGTATCTGGTGATAACAGTAACGCTGATGATGTTATGTGACAAGTTAGTCGATGAGGATAGATTACAGATGGAAATGGATGATTTTAAGAGTGCGATGTTACGCAAGCCGGTGCATCGACCGCGTTCTAATTTTATCCAGTAACTGTGTCCAGCACACCAGAATGCAATAAAATGCATTCTTGACATTTTAATACTTGGAACACTATTTTAGAGCTGGCCGTTTCGTCGACAACGAATTCTGATCTATTTAATTGTGATATTCAGTGGTTTAATAATTTCTTATATTTACTCGAATACTTCATAATTTAGTTTCAAGTGCTTTACACACATATATTTGATAGGAATTTGGTTTATAATTTTAAGATGAATTTAAAATTATGAATTTTATTTGGCAGTGTTTCATTGACTGAATTGAATAATATGTACTTTATGATAAATTACTGTGGCTGTAAATAAAAACTGTGCTTTGAGCATTCAGTCCGAATGATTTATAATTAAAACGATGTTACGAAATCGCAAAATTAAATTGAGTTTAGAATAATGTGTTTTTAGTTATTTTAATATGGTCTATAATGACACGATCGGGTGTTAGACGTATTTATTTAATAACAAACTTCCGTGAATAAAAAGTTAAACGACGGATCACATGCGCAAGTAACAACGGTTTCGAAAGACGCGAATGGCGGTTAGGTTATTTATACGAACTACATACATCAATTAGGCCACAGTTGTGCAAAGCTCATGCCTGATTAAACTTGTACTTACTTGGCTCCGTGAGCGGACTTGGTGTCGAGAACCTCGACAATATCACCGGCTTTGAGAGATACTTCATCATCAGTTGCAGCTGTGTAGTCAGATGACGCTACAACTACGTCCTCTATCTGAAACAAGGAACAGATAATATGAGCACCACATCATTTAAAATTACTTTATAACAATTACAGTTTTTAACAATAGTCAGCAAATTAATTTATAACAATAGTAACCATGGTATAATATTTTACCTATGGTAAAATAGTGGTGTTTAAATAAAATTATCCAGAATAAACAATTGACCAATTATCGAGAAGTTAAAGGAATGAAAACGAACGAAATATTTATATTTTGAAGAATTTCAGATTACCTTAGATGGACTTCTGCTACAACTAGATCTAGATCTAGACTGTGATCTCGAAGAATAACGTTTATAACTGGGAGTATTTTCTAAACTCCTCATTCTGGTTCTTGTATTTTCCCTTTCGAGTAAAACTCCGCTATACCGTCGACTCCATCCACCAAATTTAGTTATTCTTTGACTGTTACTTATATTGCAATAACCAGTGAAAGTTTGAAGATCTTCATCTTGGTCATCTACCACTGGACAACTGTACATGCTGAATCGATGTGCAGTCGGTTGACTAAGGTTAAGAGCAGAGAAAACATGAAGTGGTTCAAAATGTCTTATACCATTTTCATCTAAAACTGTGTAAGCAATTTGACCAGTAAGTACAGCTCGGCTAGCCTCTCTTGGCACCACAGCCTGCAAACCTTTCTTCATAATTAACAACGCTCCCGGATGTTTCTTACGCTGGAACAAGAAATCTTCCATTGCAAGACTGTTTTCTGGCTGGAGTAAACTTAGCGGAACATCATCAGATGTCATCAATGGTGGATCTTCAGGAATAATCATTAGTGCTGCGCTTTCTCGAACTAAATCCCTTAATTTAGGATCTGTCCGAGCTAACTCAGGGTCATTTTCTAATTTCCGTAATGCTGAATATAAGCTAGGTGCTTTATCAGCGAGTTTTCTCATAACCGTTACTCTTTTCAAGATATTTAAACATGCGGAGTCAGAAGACAGCTGTGTCAAGTTTTGTTCACTCTTGAGACTTATTGATAATTTTTTGGCAACATCGCTCATCCCAAGTATTCGAGCAAGACCAATTGACTGCACAATCAACTCTTTAACATTGTTGCCATCAGCTTCTTGTAAAATATCATCTAATGCCTTTATAGATGATTCTTGAACAGCAGAAACGATTACTTTTTGAAGTGTTTCTGCGGCTTCATGGTCAGTTTTGATAAAGGATATCGATTCCGAGATGTGATTTAATACGTGATTTAGAATACTTGCATCATTATTAGAGATATTTTTGAATGCAGGGCCCAATACTTCATTTTCACTGCTCAGAAAATCACTAAATTTTTTAATTATATCTTCTTCTTTCAAGGAATGTTTATGTAAAGTATTGTTTAAAGCAATTTTAATTAATTCTATCTTTGGTTTTGACGAATTATCTAAAATTTCCTCTCGAAGTGTTTCTTTGCTTTCCTCCGTTCGAAGAATTTTAAACATAGCAGATACAAAATGTTCATCAATAGCTTTACCTAATATGGTATCTATAGATTTTAATATTAGTTGATATTTTTCCTTGCCATTATTATTGTTTATTTCTTCAAATTGTTCGGCTGTTACTAAAGCTGCCAAAACTGCTGCGGCAATTGAATTTTTTACATTTTCTTGTTGCATATTTTGTTCGTCATCGTAACTATTGCATTGTAAAGCTTCCGTTCGCTTTTTATTAAATCTTGTTTTTTTGGATCCATTACCATCTCCTTGGTTTTCTTGTATGTCGGACTTAAGGTGAACACTCATTTCGATTATTGAAGTTATAACTTCCATTAGCTGATTTGCAATATCATCTTTTAGTCCAAAATCGGTAACAAATGCCTTCAACGCTTCAGTGTTTCTTGTTTGATTTAAAATTACATTTATTGCAGGCAAATCGGCTGGTACTTGTCTGCCTATAGACATTCCTGCTTCAGATAATTGGCGCAACATATTAGTGTCAATTGTAAGCTCACCCTTAGTAGAGGTAGTGTCATTTGGATTTGTTTTCACCTTTAAAAGTTTCAACTCCTCAGGGGTAACAACAAAACTTTGCACTGAGAACTCAAGACCTTCGTCACCTTCAATGAGATCTGGAGCAACAAACTTAAGACCCTCGGGTGTTTGTACGATTTGACCAGGTATGAATGTTACCCCGTTATCATCGGTTTCAATAACTCTGCCTGGAACAAACCTTGGACCCTCTTCGGTATCCACAACTTGTCCAGGAACAAATCGTGATCCCTCATCTTCAGTCCAAATAACTTGTCCAGGTATGAAAGTTGGGCCTGCTTTAGTTTCTATAATTTGTCCTGGAACAAAACGTGGACCATCAATTGTATGAATCGTTTGACCAGGCACGAATTTTGGCCCAGTTTTTGTGTTTACTACTTGTCCTGGTACAAACTTTGGACCTTCTGCTGTATCAACCACTTGACCTGGAACAAACTGCTCGCCATTCTCAGTAAACACTATCTGTCCTGGTACAAAAACTCCTTCGACCATCATTCCAGGAACAAACCGAGATTCATTAAGTTCATTCTTGACAAGTCTACCGGGGACAACTTTACCTTCTATTTTAGGCACCCTAGGTCCGGGATAAAATTCAATGCCTTTAGTGGTTTGAACCATATGTCCAAAAACATATAACGACTCTTCGGACAGAGAACAAGTTCTAATGTCTATTGGCAACCCTGTAGGAGTGCCTTCAGTGAAATTAATATCTTCAATAGATTTTGCAATAGAAAATTCTATATGACCATCAGTTTTAACAGTTGTTTTTCCGGGTAAAAACTTCTGGCCGGAGTCAGTATGCACAATTTGACCTTCTATAAATTTAGGCCCGTCTATTGTTTCCACAGTAGTTCCAGGAATAAATTCCAAACCTTTTTTACTTGTTCTCGTAATTCCAGGCACGAAACATATTTCTCCATTACTTGTTACAGTCTGACCAGGCACAAATTTAAGTCCGTTCGGTGTAGCTAAGGTTGCTCCAGGAATAAAATGCAATTCGTCGTCCTGATGAACCACTTGTCCAGGAATAAATTGCCATTCATTATTTATTTTCGCGTTTTGACCCGGTGTAAAAATAATTTCACCGTTTTCCGTTGCAGTTTGACCGGGAACAAATTGCACACCTTCCGGTGTCATGATTGTTTGACCTGGCACAAAAACGTCTTCAGATCCATTATTAATAATTTTTCCCGGTATAAATTTTAATCCTTCTTCGGATAAAACAGTTTGGCCCTCCGTAAAACGATATGTTTCTTTAGTTTTTATTGATTGGCCACATACGAATTCTTCACCATTTGTGGTTGGTAAAACTTGCCCTAGTAGGAAAAAGGGTTCCTGTGTGTTTTCAGAAGCTAATATATGACCTGGTATGAGACCTGGTCCAGTAGGCGTATTCACGGTTAAACCAGGAACAAAAATTGGTCCAACTGGTGTTTCAACAGTTTGTCCAGGTATAAAGACAGGTCCTTGAGGTGTAATTACGTGTTGACCAGGAATGAAAGTTTTTGCTTTATTTATATCTAAAGTTAATCCCGATATTTTTGCAATTTTTTCTCTTTTCCCTTTTTTTATATTTTTTATAACATCTGGTAAGGTTTCTAAATTAGGTAACATATCAATTTTGTTTCCTTCAAGTAATTTTTCAGTAACATCTGCGGTTTCAGTTAAGCGCTCCGCAGAAAGTTCTTTTACAGTTTGTAATATTGTTTCAGACGGACGATTTGTAATTGGTTTCAAAGGATTAACACAAGGTACATTTTCTAGGGAAATTGTCACTTCACTAATATTTTTATCAACTTGGTATATTTCCGTCTCACAATGATAAGGTGTAATTTTAACGGGCGAAGGTAGTATCGTAGTATTGGGAGTAAATTTCTCATCGTTCACTTCTTTTTCAAATAAATCCCAATCCCAAGTTTCTATCAACGGATGAACCTGATCTTTCCAATCTCCATTACACATAATAATACTTGACTTAGAACGCATATGATTAATATTAAAATTATTACACGAAAAACTTTTTGCATCATGCTTTTCATGTTTTATTTCTTCCAATTTAGCTTTCTTAGCTAAGCGATCTTGCCGCGCTTTTTCTTCCTCAAGCTCTTGAACTTCTGCAAGTCTTTCCTTCGTTTCAAATATTTTTGTCATTGAAGATAGTCCTGCTGCCCTCTTCCTTTTCTTCTTTTTCTCTTTTAATTCCTCTAGTTCTCTTTGTCTTAATACTTCTGCGTTTGGTCCCTCACCTTCGTACATCTCTACATCTTCCGTGAAATCTTTAAAATTCATTGAAACACTGCGACCTTGTTTTGTTTTAATAAGAACAGTATCAGAGTCTTTCGCAAGCATTACGTCCCTAACATCACCGTCGCGCACAGCCGCTTCCATTCGAGCGGAAAACACCAAATTACAACGTCTTTCTTGCACCGTGTAAACATACCGCTTTTCCTCGGCAATTTGTTTCGTCAATAACAAATCCATTAACGCCTTTTGAGCCTCAGTAGATCCGTCCAAAACTGGAAATATGTATCTAAAATCAGGAAGCATTTCATGTTTCCTATTGCCATAATTAATTTCAGGTGCATAATGATGCGGCCCTAGTTCTCCTGCTACATTGGTTATCTTACATTTCGTTTTAGAAGAACTTGATGTTAAAAGTACTGGAATGTAGTGATGAGTAGGCAAACCATAAGATTTTCCGGTGATCCTGCAGCAACGCTTCGCATCCGCTGGAGATATTGGGGCAAGAAGCGGAAAGTAATTTGGCTTAGGTAGTCCCCTACTACGGCCGGTTATCCTACAGAACGACATTTCGGTTTATATTACACGGTCATATTATTTGTTTACTATTTGAACTTGATTACGTTTCGTAATAAACAACCTCGAACGTAGTTATCGTATTTATTTCACGGCACAAATTGGCACGAGCGCTCACATCGGCGGTTGCGGATTGACTGGCGAAGCGACGACCAAGCGCAGAGCTTTACAGCGCGCCCGCATCAATTTGCACCTTCGCGAAGGCAGACGGTGCGCTGTATATTTGTTCCGGTTAGGCGTTATTTATAAACAGGAGTGAGACGTATTTATTCTTTACACAAAATATACTGACACAAATCCATGGGGAAAACACCGAAACGGCGAAGTTTACATTAATTTGTAGTTGTGCGTGAACATAAAAAAAAGTATTTTAAGAGTATTTCTGCAAACAGCATAATATATTATCGAATTCTACGAAGTGAATGCCAAGTATTGTTCAAAACGACTTTAATATAATTTATTATTCATTTAAATAAAATCAACCATAATTACAAAATACAGAAGCATAATTCTTAATCTTCTATTGTGATTTCAAATAAAATGAGACATTTTCTTGAAATTAATAACAAGAACTAAAAAAAATATAGGCAAATTACAAACACATAAAAATAAGAGTTGTTAAAGGGGCATTAAAGATAAAAAGTCGGAAAAAAAAACAAGATTCAAAATTACGTTTCCTAAACAAATAAATATTCGATTGTTTACATTTCTAAACGAAACATCCGTCTGCACACCCAGTTGAAAGTTGAAACAGAATGTCCGTCCGTCTGATTGTCGTCGAGCTTGTCAGCGATGTTAACAGATAGCCTCGAAGTCGAGACCGCAGTTATATTTTTAAACATAATATTTTAATCAGTAAACCTTCAAGTTTAAGCGAGCGTGAAGGAGATCGTTTATTTCTGAACATTATAAATTTTTTCAATTCGTTTCAATGAAGAGCGTCTGTTGTTTAGGATTTGAATGGAGTTAACAGTGCATCTTTGGGGTTGATTCGATTTTATAGATAGGGATGTTTTGATACTTAAAACTTATACTTAACATTAATATTGAATTAGTTATGTAATGATATATGTAGCTAGTAGGGCTAAAATCTTTGTCATAAAATGAAACCATTATTGAAAAATATAAGGTTTCTCTTGAATGTAAAACGTATACATAACACACATCAGTTATTTCTATTGAATAACTCGTTTCTAACAAAAAACAAGGCATGCTTTTAGATGACAAACTGCTGAATAATGTGTAAAGTTTAAAGTCAAAAATGTACTACGCGGGTGTTTGTAAGAGTTACATTAAAATTTTCAACGAATTACCTTATGCAAGAAATATTACATATTGAAATAAACAAAGTCAAAGCCAACCATGGTAGAGCTATGCTGCAGTTATATTATAGTTGTAGCACGAATGGGTCGACTCGACCGGGATAAAACCACGCTCTCACTGAATGCCAGCGTAAAATAGCAGTTCAACGCTGCTGTGTTTCTATGGCAAGTGTAGAGAGAACTGGAGAACATTTTTATTGGTAACGAGGCATTCCATCTTAATCCTCAAGGCTGGCTAAGCATAGCTGCATTTCGAATCTTAATAGATGATAGATGAAGATGTCTATGGGCCAAAGCTGTTTATATAAATGTCAAAAAAGCTGCACCATCTCTTCAAAAGTCCCTATCGCGGGAGATCTTGCGAGCAGAAGCTACGTAAGACTCAAGAGCAGATTTTTTTCTCCCAACAGTTACAATTTTATTTTATAAATAATTTTTTATACGTGGTAGAGCCATGCTGCAGCTATATTAGTAGTATAGTTGTAGCACGAATGCGTCGGCTCGACCGGGGAAGGACCACGCTCTCACAGAATACCAGCGTAAAATAGAAGCTTAAAATTGCTGTGTTTCGTATGGTGAGTGTAGAGAACCGAGGACCCTTTTTACTGGAAAAGAGACATTCCATCTTAGTCCTCGCGGGTGACAACGCATCTGCATTTTGCGACGAGGATAGATGTAGATGTCTATGGGCCACAGCAACCACTTACCATTAGGTGGACTGTGTGCTCGTTTGTCACACAAAATTATAGACGTTTTTGTAAAATTGTTGTGTGATATAGGGTGTTAAAGTTAAGCAAATAAGGTGATTATTACGTGGTATAGATACGCTACAGTCATATGACTGCAGCACGAATGGGCCTGCTTGACCGGGGAAGAACCACATTCTCACAGAAGCAGCATGATGCTGATGTCTTATAGAAAAAGGATGACCAACAAGCACATAGTTCACTTCTACATCTACATCTATCATCGATTAAGAATCAAAATGCAAATGCATTGTCACCGTTGAGAACTAAAAGGGAGTGCCTAGTTTCCAGTAAAAAGGGGCTCCGGTTCTCAACACACACTAAACGTAACACAGAAGCATAATAGACGGCTCCGTGGCGCAGTGGATTAGCAATGAGTTTTTGCGCTGGAGGCCGCGGGTTCGAATCCGCACGGAACAAGTATTTGTGTGGCTAACAATTAATTGTTCCGGGTCTGGATGTTTGTCATCGTGCAATTTATGTTTGTAAACTGCTTCCACGACACAGGAGAAAATCCTAGTGTTGGGGTAACGTTTTCTTTTTATTTTAATAAATAAAAAATATTATTCGGCTGTTTTACGCTGGTATTCTGTAAGAGCGTTGTCTTACCCCGGTCGAGGCCAATCGTGCACCAGCTACGTATAGCTAGCATTATATAGACAGTTGCATTTCATTACAGAAGTTTGCTTTCATACATTAGAAGTTTATGGTATATTGAGATTTATGATATCATAAGTATTACAAAAGGATATTTAGTGTAGAGACAAAAAGTGAAAATAAAATAACTTTTATAAAAAGTGAACCCGACTTCTCAGGACTAAAAGGATTAAAATAATTTCCACTAATTAGCGAAAAATCGAAGCTCGCGATCGGTTTTAACTTTTTTTAAAGTCTTATTTTTACACTCTTTTGAGTGGACTAAGCAATATCACAAGCTCAAAGTAACAAATAGAATATTTTACAACAAAACCTGACCCCTATTTTTCCACTCTTAAGGGTGGATTTTTTTAGAAATTAAAATGAAAAGATAAAATAATTTTTTTATAGGATTAGGGTGACAAACGAGCACACAGTCCACCTGATGGTAAGTGGTTGCTGTGGCCCATAGACATCTACCTTCGATTAAAAATGAAAATGCAGATGCGTTGTCACCCATGAGGACTAAGATGGAATGCCTCGTTTCCGGTAAAAAGGGTTTCCGGTTCTCTACACTCACCAAACGAAACACAGCAGCGTTAACTTACTATTTTGCGCTGGTATTCTGTGAGAGCGTGGTCCTTCCCCGGTCAAGCCGACCCATTCGTGCTACAACTATACTAATGTATAATATAGCTGCAGCATGGGTCTACCACGTACAATAAATTAAATAAATCGGTTCACAATTGGCGAAGATACCCCATACAAAACACGCTATAGTTTACTCTGATTTCTGATTACGGCATCATGCTGCATCACTGCATGATTAACGACATTACAACACAATTTTATTTCAAGCTTGTCTTTAAAATAATTCCAGTATAAATAAACCGTTAAATTGAAGCTAAGCATTTATTATTTATCATTTACCTAACACCATCCCATAAACTTTGATCTCATGGTTTCGTAACACCCACGTTCGATGGAAATACATATAAAACAAACACTCTTATTTTCGGATAACAGCGAGCTTTTAGAAGGCCTTGATAATTATTTTTAGTTCAATATTTGTCAATTTATAACTGTTTAACTTCAAGAAAGGTGACAACGCTCTCTTGAAGAACTACAGACCGATTTCCCTTCTGAGCCGCGTCTACGTGCTGTTTTCGAGAGTCATTACGAATCGTCTCGCGCGCAGACTTGACGACTTCCAGCCTCCCGAACAAGCCGGTTTCCGAAAGGGCTTTAGCACCATAGACCACATACATACCCTTCGGCAAATTGTACAGAAGTCCGAGGAGTACAATTTGCCACTATGTCTGGCGTATGTGGACTATGAGAAAGCCTTTGATTCCGTCGAAATTTGGGCGGTGTTGCAGTCCCTTCAGCGGTGCCAAGTTGACTATCGGTATATCGAAGTGTTGAAGTGCTTGTACAGTAGGGCTACGATGGCTATCTGAGTACAGAACCAGAGTACGAAACCTATCCAATTGCAGAGAGGTGTAAGACAGGGTGACGTCATATCCCCGAAACTCTTCACCGCTGCATTGGAAGACGTTTTCAAGCTTCTGGACTGGAAAGGATACGGTATCAACATCAATGGCGAGTACATCACTCACCTTCGATTTGCCGACGATATAGTCCTTATGGCAGAATCGCTGGAGGACCTAAGCACTATGCTCAATGACCTCGATAGTGTTTCCCAACGGATAGGTCTTAAGATGAACATGGACAAAACAAAGATCATGTTCAATGTCCATGTCACACCTATGCCGGTAGTTGTTGGGAGCACTAAGCTCGAAGTTGTTGACGAGTATGTTTACCTGGGACAAATAGTCCGACTAGGTAAGTCCAACTTCGACCGAGAGGTCAATCGACGGATTCAACTCGGCTGGGCAGCGTTCGGGAAGCTACGACACATCTTCTCGTCAGACATACCTCAAAACCTGAAAACGAAATTGTACAACCAGTGCGTGTTGCCAGTGATGACTTACGGAACTGAGACGTGGTCCTTCACTGCTGGCCGTATGAGGAAGCTCAAGGTCGCTCAGCGAGCTATGGAGAGGGCTATGCTCGGAGTTTCTCTGCGTGATAAACTTAGGAATAAGGATATCCGCAGTAGAACCAGAGTAACCGACATAGCCCAACGGATTAGTAAGCTGAAGTGGCAGTGGGCCGGCCATATAGCTCGAAGAACCGACAACCGATGGGGAAGAAAGGTTCTCGAGTGGCAGCCTCGTACCGGTAGGCGAAGTGTAGGGCGTCCCCCCACGAGATGGAGTGACGACCT